AAAAAAAATTACTATTACAATAATATACACGCGACGAAATAAAAAAAAGTATACATGACATTTAAAGGAATTTCAATTTGCATAAACATTCTATTACGTAATATAAAATATGATCATATGATCTTCTCGATTGAATTCGATTCGAGACGAAAATTCTCCCGGCAAAAAGCAGCAAACATTCTCAGTTTGGAAGGGGGGAAAAAAAAAAGATCTACGTCGAGAAAGGGAGCACCATTAACATTTGCCATTTCGGTCACGATTTTTTCTTTGTGGAACTTTACGAGGACACACTAAGCCGAGCAAGGAACCGTTTCATTGTGTAAACGTGTACGTATAATAAAAAGGTTGCAAAGGTCAGCGTATACATTCGAGAAACTCGGTTCCCTTTGTGAATGAAAGAATCAACGAGAGAGTGGCCGAGCGAGGGAAAGAGAGATAGGAGAGAAAAATTTTCCAGACGCCAGAAAAATGTTCTCAACAATCTGCAAGCAGGTGTCGAGAATGGGACCTGCGCTTTCGAACGAACGAACGCTTCGATGCAACCTAGTGCTGCATGCACACGTGTGTATGCGCTCCCCTCCACCCTCCTCCTCCTCTCCACCCCTGTCCGCGTTAGAATCGTTCGCATCCTACCGGGAAGAGGAGTTAATACGACGATATTTTTGTCAAAGCAATGGAGTGCGCGCAAAAAGACATTTTTTTTTTCGCGGAAGAAATTCCGACAAAGAAATTTGGAACGACGTAAATCTCCAATTATTTCCAACGAAAGAATTCCAGATCCAAATGAACGCGACTGCTCTTTTCCTCTTCTATCCCCCCATTGAAGAATTAATCACGGGGTATACGCGATAAAAATGCAAGGTTAACATCATTGTGTGGAATAGATAAGGAACACGCGGCTCGTTTCAATCGCACGCACACAAACGCCGTCTAGAAACTATCTTTAATTACGTCCGTAACAGCACGGCCAGATCGAGTCGTGACGTACGTTTCTTCTTCTTATTACATTTGTCATTTGGGTCACGTATTTTATTTCTAATTTGATAAGTAATTTTAACTAATATTTTAACTAATACGATTAGCGAGCGGAATTGTGAAATGTGTACGATTGAATTTCGAAGAGAAGTAATAAAAAGACGGAAAGTTGAAGTGTAATTATAAATACGATTTTGAAGTTGTGAAACGTTCGCGATTAAGTCTCGAGGATGTGTATTTGCGAAAAGATTAATCTTTATGTTAATTATTTCAATAATTTTCAGTGAATAAATTCTATATTTGAAATATAAGATAGATATAAGTGTGCCAAACAACGAGGATCAATCTCGATTTGAAAAATCTTTTCATAGAAATAATAGTAATAAGTTTTTAATTACGTTTTTATCTTAAATAAAATACGTAATGTTTAAATATCCAAAACTTTAAAAGTTAATAAAAATATCATATTTGAATCGTAAATAAAAATTCGAACTAATAACAAGCAAACTTAAATATTAAATCAAGTAGAATTTAAAAAAAATATTCGCGATTGAATTCCGAATACGAAGAGATTAATAAAAAAATATTGTACCATGACGAAAGATGAAAAGTCGAATAAGGCCATTGGATCCGCTACGTCACGCATAACGCGATAAATGTTAAAACTACGACCTTCGAACGCAGAAACGATACGGTTAATAATTCAATAATTTCGCAGACTCTCGGTTACAACATTTTATGGCTCTTTGCTGGCTTGCACGTGAAGATCCTTGGATGCGCGGGAGAGGAAGAAGGCAGAACACGAGGAACAAGTAACGAGGTTACCGGAACGTCCCACAATTAATTTGCTTGCAAACGGTTACGCTCTGCGAATAATTATTCAAAGTTCTAGCTTCTGCTTGTGCAAAGTGCAACTACTTAAAGGGTTGAACGATTCATCGACGATAACGTTAAAATGTAAAAGATAGCCCGAGACCACGTTTTAATCAACCTTAGCAATCGTCTGACGAAAAACGTACTCAATAATTAAAAATTAATTCGTATCGTTCGATTAAATTCTAAACGGAACAAATTTTAATTAGTTCGATAATACGTTCTCAAAATTTACATCGATAATAATGAATCTATTAATATATTATCACGTTTGATAAATATTTTTAAAAAAAGAACAAATTTCGATTTATGCGTTTAGTACGTTTTCAAAATCGATAATATTTTCCGATATATAAATTATTAATATTTTATTTTATACTTGTATGTATATTTTATTACACTCGTTAAAATTATATTTCGATTGTACTCGAGAAAGAACGAACGAGCGAACGAGCGAACGAACACTTTTTCCCTTCAACGAAAGTCGAATAATAATGCTCCGCGACGCTTCACATTCGACAGGCTCGAAAGTTAATCGATGTCGATTAAAGAGCACGCGGGCTTCATTAAAATACAATTAAAAAGAAAGTATCGTCGTCGGTTTTAATAGTTTAACTGCGTCTAACGATCGTGTCCCGCTCGTCGTTAAAACTTGCTCGATCGCACGAAACGTCGCGATAAAAGTGAA